AATGGAATGATTTCGATGGATCGCATGAGTGACCTCAACTCGAGTTTTATACCAGAAGTGATAGCAAGACGTCTACCTACTCGACTGCAAAGGAAGTGGGTGAAGATAAGCTCTCGTATGGAGGATGAGGGTATCGAGCCAACGTTTGATGATATCCTGAAACTGGTAAATACTAGTGTCAATCAATCTACGAGCAAGTTTGCCAGTATATTGAATCTCACCCCTAGAATAGAGCAGTCTGAGGGTAAAATGCAATCAATGATGACGAGTAGGCCTCAGAGAGGTGGATATCGAGAAGGCTCCATGATGCCTAATAATGCATACAGACCTAGTGAGTGTAACAGGTTTCGTGGTACATCCTCAACAGATAAGTTACAAGATGCAAGACAAACACGGTTGTGGTTTACACGTTTGCAAGAGGTGCATACAGAAGTGAACTGTGAACCAGTAAGCAAGTTCAGTGATTAGCTAAATGTAAACTCCAGGCATGACTCCGAATTGTGTGACGATAACGGTGTTGTGAAGAAGTCCGTAGTTGCAAGTGGTAAGCCATTGTTGAATAGAGTGTCACGGAATAGAATTATTGCTTCAGAGTGCAGTTCTGACCCTACAAGTTTACAAAGTATAACTAGTCAGAGTGAAGATATAAAACCTTTAATGATTTGTGAGGAGGAACCAAAATTGTCTACTTCTGTTATTAAAGAGTTTGAAAATGATGAACTTGACGGTAAATTGAATATTTGTGGTAGTGATCATGATAGTGCAGATTTGTCTTTGGTTGATCATGATGAAATGGAGGGAATGCCTACTACCGCTAGGTTAAATTAAGGTTCTGTAGAACTTGAACGTGAAGTAGAAATAAATGCAGATGCAGTTCCAAAAGGTGTGCATACTTGTGAGACAGTCAGTGTGATTGATCAGCATGTAGCCCACCTATCATCAGATGCTAGTGCTAAACCTGAGCTGATAGTAAAACACAGCAGTGGTGGTGGTCTTATAGGTAGACAAACTTCTGAAAGCCGAGCAACAACAGCTTTTGATCCACCGCTAACTTCACCAACTGATATCAATCAGTCGTCGTTGGTGTTGTCATCCACAATGAAACAGTCGCCCATCAACTCAAGTATCTTCTGCAATGACTATGATAGTATATGATAGTTTAGTGAGGATAACCCAAGTGTGTACGAGAGGGTAATTGTTAAATTGACTTGCATGAATAAAGGCATTTCTGGTTTCAAGTTACTATTTGAATGTTATTATCTTTGGTGTAAATTACTCTGTTTCTACACTTGGTTGATGAGATATGTCGTGTGTTTGTTGGTCATCTGTATTCTACGATACAATGACATGGGCGTGTTGCCGTTCAGATTTGAGGATATAGCTGATAGAAGGAAGTTAGCAAATGAACTCTGCGACGATTTTCCAACCTAGAGCGTCAACCTGAGAAGGGTTGTAGGCGTACTGCTGTAAGTCCTACAGTTCTTCAAGGGTAGTTTGTCATGCCAGAATCCACAACATTTGATGTAGTGATTGTACATATGTTTGTGTTAAATAATTATGTGAGTTCCAATTATCGCAATTTTTGGTTAATCTTGTTTGTGTCCGGACATTCCACAACTTACAATCGTCAACCTGAGAAGGGTTGTAGGCGTACTGGTGTAAGTCCTGCGATTCTTCAAAGGAATTCCACCAAGAGATGATCGGCGAGGTTGTTTGTACTACATGTATATACGTGTGGTGTGTCATATCAATTGGTGTATTTTGGATTCATTTTGTTTACTCGTTGTTTTCGTACCTTGTTTTTATGCGTAATTTTGTTAAAATTTTCGTGGTGATTACATCTGAAGTTGTTTCGAGTCTTCTACATCCATGAATGAATTGATTGATGTTAAGGACAGCAGATGGGTCGTATACGCCGGGGAGGCTATTGCAGAGAATCAAATGCACACGGAGATAATTGTTAGCTGCGGTCCGACACGCCGGGGAGAAAGAGTGTAAACGACTGAGGCTCGCATGCGTCACCGCTACTAGAACTGAGGCAGAATGAGTGACAAGCGATTGCAGTGGTAATTGGTAATGAGTAGATAAGAGGATGTGCGTAGAGTATCGTGAGGTGCTGCCATGGTCACTTTGCATTCTGCAAGAGTCATTCTAGTAAGTGGCGATTGTGTTGCAAGATGTCAAGAGGAGGTCTCTGTCTGGAGGCGCAGATCGTCAGCGATGTGTGAGATTGTGCTGTGGGTATGCTTGTGGTGTGTTGGCTTTTCTGTTTGTTTTCCATTTCAGCTCTGTCCGTGTGACCCAGGTTCTCGCAATGGCATCCAAGTCGACGTGCATTGGTCGTGAGGGAAAAAAGGGATGGATCCCTTTTTTGCCGGGGAGTGTTAATGGAGTTGAAGATTGAACGATCAATTCTTGGTTGTTTGCTCAAAATCAACTTCCCCAATTTTCGCGGAGGCATCAATACGACAGTCATCGTCTCATCGATCGCTGTTCAGAAAGAAGAGTGAAACATCGTCAGAAACCTTAGTTCACTTATTCTTTTTATATGTTGGTGTAACAATAAAGAAATATCAAGCGGCAGATCGGTGTTTTGGTTTTTTCGTCCGTTATAACTAAGCGTTTCTGAAATCTTCAAGGAACAGCGTGGGCCCGAGCGTAGCGAGAGCTGGGCATTAACGGTTTATGAGACGTGATTGACAATCATGCTTACCGCTTTACTATCAAATCATCGATTTCTGATTTGCTTAGTCCTATGCATGACAAGAGGAACAATTAGTGTGACACTAAAAATCACAGAAGAATGTTGTTATCACCGCAGGATGAGAACGGTGAATGAACATTTGTCAGCAAAGGAAGGCGAATATAGAATGTTCAATTTTCATATTACTTTTTCCTAGCTGCAATGAATTCAAAAATACATCTTATTCGCTCATATGCAGAAGCCCGGCAACGTCAGTCAACCTGGTCACAGCAATTCAACACCGCCGAAACAATTACGACAAACAGTTCTGTACAGACCTTTACTTGTTATCATTTTTCGTTAAGTATACCTAACATCCTGCTTACCATACTTTTCTCATTCTATGAGTGGGAATAAACTTGTCATCATGACGAGGTGAAGGCTTGACTTATTGAGTGGGTCCTTAGAAAGTAAGTGGTTGCATAATTCGATGTGAATGAAATATTGCTACGATTGTCACAGCTGCATCTACTCAATTATTCGTCTCATGAAGACTTCATTTTGCACTATATGTTGACGCCTGTGATCATATGAATTGACATCACGCTTTAAATGGAATAATAGTAATGTACTACTTTTGGATACACTTAATCTTATACGAAATCAAACTCTACTGCAGTGCCTAGGTTTTTTCTTATTTTTCGAGTACACAGGCTAAGTATTCTTGTCATTCGTCCCTACAGATTTGCTTATTGCCAGGAGACGTAATTGCGTAACTTAAGGGAGAATGTTTAGGCATGACTAAAGTAGCTATAATTCACCACTTAGTTTGATCGATGGGGCTTCTACAGAACTACGCTTAGTAAGTAGCATAGTACCGCTCTAGCGTGCCGTACACCCACCGCAAGCATATGAAACAGAACACAAGAATGTCAGATAAAAAGTTTTACTGTAGTGCAACGCAAGCAAGTTTATTTACATATATTGGCTGAGCACAGTCCAAGATGAAAGTCCTCGTTTGGGAATTATCTGCCGCTACTCCACGGGAACTGTCCGTTATATAAATCGCGTCACATTTAAATTCCTCAATTTAAGCAAACCGAACTGTACGCCCACATCCAAAGTCATCCGGACTGGAACGAAGAATATCTGCATGGTTATAGGTGAGTGAGTGAACTTGCCTTTCTTCAACTGACTGTGCAAATCATTCCGGTGACGAACCGTGTACGAAGTTAGTAGATTCCGGATGTTTTCATCCGAATGCGACTACATCAGCTTTCCACCAAATTTAACTGATTGAGAAACTTCATTACGGCTCGACATTCCTAAGAGTGATACAGGTCAAATTCGCATTTGCATGATTAAGACGCATGACCATTTATGACCATATGTAAGTATTCAGTAGACCCAGTTATCATAGTTTACACCTATTTCGAAATGTGTAACACATTGATGGCGCAGAGAATATCATGTAAATGACGCATTCATAATATTTTCTACTGCTAGTAATTGCGCCACCGAATCATACTACAAGAATATGTTTAACAATACTTTGTTAGTTGTCTGAGGGACGAAAATATTGGAAAGAAACACGCAAACCAGATAAAAGTGTCTATCTATCACTACCATGCAATGTCTCATCTGCCGATTTCTCCTCTGCACGAGAACGTAGCCACATACTATCATTGATATAAGAATAAAACTTGTGCACTGTGGCAGAGTATAATTCCATTATGTAAACATTACTGTATAGCACTGTAAGACTTTTTCAAAACAAAAATTTACCCACAATGGAATTAGCCACATACTAGTATGTGAAAATAGTTGTCACTTTTATCAGTTTATAAGGTCCTCACTTTCTGAAGGTCTTCCAGTGAGTTCGTAGCTTCTTACATATGTGCTGCCTCCACTCGTACTGATTACCTGCAATAAAATTCTAGAAAAAGGCCTCGTTAACGAAGCACATTATTGCCGCAGTCATTTCTGAAGAAAAACAGAATACTAGACTATGTGAGTGAGAAATATCGAAGTAAAAAATATTCCATGTATAACCACAACTGAGTAAATGCATTGGGACCCACGAGATCGTAGTCACTGATAACCACCATGATGGCTTACCAGTCTCAAGAGAGTGTACATCGAAAAGAGCATTGTGTATGTATAAAAAGCGGTGAAGCAAAGTTAAAATAGTCAAATGCTACATTTATATTCATCGCAGCTACCTGCAAAATAGCACGACGACACAAAACTGTACACCACGGCATCTACTATAGTAGAACAACACAAACAGTATCAGAAACCAAGCACACGGGGTGAGGTGAGAAGCAGAACGCGACAGGGAAGTTAAAAAGATGTATATATTTACAACAAAGAGCTAGGCCTTCAGTATTCAGCAGCCACCAGTTTTTGAATTTGCGCCTCCTCTTGAGTTCGAATTACTACACGACCCCCTCGGTTCCAAAAAGCTGTCCCCAGCGACTTCAGTGGTTCGGTCTCCCCGCCTCGAAATCGTCCCTACAAGAGAAGAAGACACATGGTTATTTTGGTTATCGAGATAAGGCGGTGTTCTCCTCGGTGCCTGTCTGCTTGGTCTACACGGTTTCAGACGGTTGAAGTGCACTATCATTTTCTGAGGGTTGTTGTTGTCTTCTTGGATTTCGTAGGTATTGTCAGTTACTCTACGGTACACCAGGTATGGGCCTGCCCATTGTGCTTGAGCTTTGCGTCGACTCCAGTTGTCAGTCGCTGGTTGACGTAGCCACACCTTATCACCTATTTTGAATGGTGTTCCCCACTGCTTTCTATCGTAGTAACGTTTCTGTCGTTCTTGTGCTCTCTGGAGTTCTTCGCGTGCATAGCTATGATACCTGGCGACGTCTCCTCGTAACCTTATTACCATTTCCGATGTAGTTAGCGGATCATCCCACCGGGGCATAACCAATGTATCACTAGGCAGGCGTAACTCGCGGCCAGTCCATAACAGGTGTGGTGTCTTTCCCGTAGACATGTGCGTGCTTCCTCGGTAGGCCAACAAGCATCTTGGTAACATGATGTCCCAGGCTGATTCAGCCTCCCTCTCTAAGAATAGGCGTAGTAATGATTTTAGGGTTCGATTGGTACGCTCTACTAACCCATTGCCTTCGGGGTGGTACGCGGTGGTTCTTGACTTTTTAATTCCAAATAGATGGCACAATTCTCTAACCACGATACTTTCGAAGTTGGTTCCTTGGTCAGAGTGCAATTGCTCTGGTGCGCCCCAACGGGCAATCCAACAGTCAAATATAGCTTTGGCTACGGTAGGGGCATCAATTCGCTGAAGTGGTACAGCTTCACACCATTTCGTAAAATAATCAACCATAACCAAGATATACTTATTTCCACGTGTGGTTTCACGTAAAGGTCCGATGATGTCGACGCCAATTATTTCGTTAGGATATCCAGCCTTCATATTAGTAAGTGGCGCCCGGGGTTTCCTCTGTGGATTCTTTACTTTACCACATGTTGCACACCCTTGGACAAAGTCCCGGACGTCGCGCCGTTGGCGAGGCCACCAGTAGCGTTGGGTAACTGCTTGCAACATTTTATTAATTCCAGCGTGTCCCAAATCATAATGTATAGTCTCCAGAATTGCTGTTACAAACGACTGAGGGACTACGACTCTTCTCAAGTAGTTGGGGCCGGGTTGAACACACAGGATACCATTCGCTAGTACTAACTGATCCCATAAGGCCCACAAACATCTGGTTTCCCAGCTCTTCCCTTTCACATCAGCTTCAACTGGCCTACCAGTCTGATTCGACAGGGCATGATAAAGGAGTGCAGTCTCATCGTCAGTAGCTTGGATGTGTGCCCACTGTTCTCTGCTTAGACCTGCCAGCGAAATAGCACAAATATCAATACTCTCGCAAGACGGGCAGTCTCCGTGCGGTCTGAAAGAGCGCCTGGATAGCGCGTCGGCATTGGCATGTTGCTTGCCAGGACGGTGTACACATTCGAAGTCATACTCTTGAAGGTACTCCTGCCATCTTGCTGTCTGTCCTTCAGGGTCTTTGAAATTTTGCAACCACTGAAGAGCTTTGTGATCCGTTCGCAAAACAAACGGTTTACCAAGTAGATAGGGTCGGTACTTACGAACGAAGGTAACAGCGGCCAACATCTCTTTACGGGTGATGCAGTAGTTCTTCTCTGCACGGCTCAGCGTGCGGCTGCCATATTCGATAACATGTTCTTTGCCGTCCCCACCGACCTGAGATAACACGGCTCCGATGGATGTGTGACTAGCGTCCGTGTCCAAGATGTATTTACCAGCCGTTGGTGATGTATCTGGGAATGCTAAAATGGGCGCCGAGCATAATGAATCTTTCAACTGTTGGAAAGCACGATCACAATCCTCTGTCCATACGAAGGGAATATTTTTCTTAGTCAAACTCGTTAGGGGGCTAGCGATCTCTGAGTAATTTCTCACGAACCGGCGGTAATAAGAGGCCAACCCTAGAAAACTGTGTAACTCATTCACGGATTTAGGTACGGGCCACTCTTTGACTGCTGCAACTTTTTCAGGATCGCTATGAACGCCCTGTGCACTGACAACATGCCCCAAGAAAGTGACTTCGGTTCGGAATAAACGGCATTTAGTGGGTTGAACTTTGAGTCCCACCTCCTTCAAACGTTCTAAGACAATCCGCAATCGCTCAAGGTGTTCTTCGATGGTGTGACTGAAAACGATAATATCATCTAAATATACGAGGCACACCTGTGGGACTAATCCTTTGAGTACTGTGTGCATCAGTCGTTGAAACGTGGCTGGTGCATTACTTAACCCGAACGGCATGGTCTGGAATTCATATAACCCGGTGGGTATAGTAAAAGCGGTTTTGTGCCGATCACGAGGGTGGACTTCCACTTGCCAATATCCAGAAGCTAAATCAAGGGTGGAAAACCAGACGGCACCTGATAATGCTTCTAACGTCTCATCTATTCTAGGCAATGGGTAAGCATCTCTCCGGGTCACTGCGTTTAATTTTCTGTAATCAACACACAAGCGCAGGGTGCCGTTTTTCTTCTTAACTAACACTATAGGCGAGGCCCACGGTGAGTTCGACGGCGCAATTATTTTTTTCTGTAACATTTCATCAATCATGCTTTCCAGTTGCGGACGAAACTTAGCTGGGACTCGGCGAGGTGTTTGCCGTATTGGAGCACAACTACCGGTCTCAATAGTATGTTGGATAGCTGTGGTTCTCCCCAGGTCAGTCGAGGACCAAGATATGACCTCCGAAAACTCGGACATTAGCCGATGTACCGCCTCTTTGTGCTCTCGCGGGACCTGTGTTAGCATACTTTCCATCAGGGCGGTATCAATTGCATTCACACTCAGCTGTAAACAGGTATTATTAATATCTGCTCCAAATATTAATGTAGAGCCTAGAAGGGTGAGCTTTTGGGATTCAATATCAATTGACGCGTTGCAACCGCGTAGAAGGTCATAACCTATTATTAAATCCCACGACAATCCGTTAACTACCAAACACGGATGCCACATACGACCATGTTTACCTTCCCATAAGACTAACAGCTCGCCAGCTACTTTCATACGAGACCCATTTGCCGTTTGGATGTTAAGGTGGGGTGTGGCAGTTTTGGCCATAGCATTACAATATTTGCTGGACAACAATGTGCGAGCTGCACCTGTGTCTACCAACCCAACGAGAGTTCTGTCATAAAACTTAACTAGAACAGTGGGCAGTTGCTTAGCTACATATGGCTCATCTGATAATAGCATGACATTAGATAAAAAAGAGGGAGACTCACCAATCTCTTCTGGGAGGCGAGAGTTTATCCAGGCCGCTCTTGGACGTGGTTGGTGTGGAATTTGTCTTGCTTTCGGGGAAGATCGGGACCTCCACTCAAGATGTGGTTTCGTACGATGCTCACGAGGCGTCCTCGATTCTTGATATTGCGATTGAGTATAGGGTCCGTCTGTTGGTCGCCGATTCTTACGAAGCTTAATTAGAGCTTCCTTCTGTTTGGCAACCTGTAGAGCCTCCACGGGCGATGTAGGATTGCTTTCAATGACCCTTTCTCGTACTTCGTCGTGCAGCAGCCCTTCTTCGAATTGGTGGAGAATGCGGGAGCTGATTTCGGTTGCGGAGTCTCCTTCAAAAGCGACTGGGGCTAACTCTTGAAGTCGCCAGAGGAATTCCTCTGTACTTTCGCCGCTCTGCTGGACACATGCGTGAAAAGCGGCCCGCTGCCCAAGAACATGGGTATGCGGCGCAAATGCTCGACGCATCGCTGCAAATAGCTCCTCTACTTCCATCGTCTCTTCTGTGTCAACGCCAGCTAGCTTGAGGCGTTTCAACGCGGGTATTGACAGTAAACAGATAACAGCACTAGCTCTTTGTTTTTCATCAAATTGTTGTATATATCGACGGCACTGCTCCTCCCACAATGTGAATGATTCCCCTGGGACGAACTTTTCTGGTGCTGGGAATTTAACTTGGGGTGTATTGTTGGAGGGCGATGAAAGTGTATTCGACGTCATCAATGCTATTCTAAACGCTGCGACCATTGCTTGAATCATATCTGGCGCAGGCGTGGACGTCGACGTTGTCGGTGAGGTTGAGGACATTACTGGTGGCGCTCTGTTACCATTTTCCGAGTCGCAGGCGCTGGCATTAGCAGGAGATTCAGAGTTCTTCATTTCGCGCTTTTGTTTACGCGAGTTGGGTAGGCTCGCCATGTTCTATAGTAGAACAACACAAACAGTATCAGAAATCAAGCACACGGGGTGAGGTGAGAAGCAGAACGCGACAGGGAAGTTAAAAAGATGTATATATTTACAACAAAGAGCTAGGCCTTCAGTATTCAGCAGCCACCAGTTTTTGAATTTGCGCCTCCTCTTGAGTTCGAATTACTACACTACCTATGGCAAATCAAATTTCCAACTGACCGCCACTGTTCTAGCCAATGGGAGATGATAAAACCAGAAGCGAGGTAAATTTAAAAACCGATAGCGTTTATCTTCACCCTATTAGCTTATAAGTAAACTTTGTATTAAGAGGCAATGTTTTGAAACTAAGCACGCTGAAACTTCTATAGTATATGTCCACATACTGTGTGAAATCAAGCTTTATTATTATTGATCCTCATTTCCTTAAAATATTACGCTGAAAAATTTCGGTTGTTTGAAGAAGGTTATATTTTCACTGAAAACATCCTAGTTTCGACAAAAAGACTTAAAGGGTTAACATATTGCATATATTGCGAATGCACAGTGTCATTCTAGGGGCTGTGTAGCTCCTTCCTACATGTTTTCTGTAAATGCATTCCTAATGATATATTGCCTCGTGGTTTTTCCACCCTGCAGTATTTTAGAACACCATTTTCTCCCTGAAACAGCTCTCAATCATCCATGGAAACAGCACTCATTCGAATAATAGTGCTTCATCGATTAACTACAATCACTCACTGAGAACGAAATGAAGTTTGGGCTAGGCGCAACCTCATCGCCGGCCTTGGTGATGGCTTTGCAATTTACCACTTATATGGGCTTGTTCTGATAGTTTATATTATAATTCGATTATTTAAACACTTGAGACAATGCTTGTTTATGAACATTTTGCGACTGTGGTTTATATCAGTCTTTACTGCACCAATAAAGGTTGTATACATTTCATGTAGTTTTAACTGCTTATATAAATAAATATTATTTATCGAGAGAAAAGCATAATTGAGAACCATACCCGAAAATGGTGTGGATTTTCAAATTCACTTGTAAAATAGTGTCCACTAGTGCTTTGATTACAGTGGCAGTGATCTCATTAGGTTCTAAATCAAATCAAAAGTTTGATCTCCTTTCTAGTAAGGCATTTGTAGTAATCAGGGTCGCTGGAAGTATAAGCAGAGTTGCATCCACTATGACACTAGTCACGTCATCTCTAGAGGTTTGAGCTTTATCCTCCTCATTTACACATTTATCATGGGAAATTAATGTAGCTCCAGAAACAAATGATAGGTCTCAGTTGGTCACACCACCTTTCTCATTCAAGAGAGAATGGTGTTGTCCTTCACACTCACTATTTCAGTCAGACATAACAGTGGCATCAACATGATGAGGGGCAGATAACTCGCGTGAGAATATGACTTACTGCCAATGAATAATAAAATGAAAGATTGACAAAAACCAGAGTTCGCGGAAGTAAAACTTTATTAAAAATGCTTAAATGACGGATATATGGAGAAAGAAAACTGACTTATTTGCTTCAAACCATAAAAAATAGCGAGCTTTAAGTGTGATATGCCTAGAGAAACAGATAATAATAGGAAAGAGATGGGATGTACTCCATATTCAAACCCAGAGAACAGACAAGAATTTGTTAAACGGAAATGACTATCAAGCCGGATGAAAATAAATGTCTTTTGTTTCCACGGATGATGTATACCAGATATGCCCTTTATTCCATCCTTATCTCACTTTTAATTTTTGCATTGGTGGTGATCAAATGAGCAGCCCCAGTTTTCTTCGATGGGAAGGAATAGTGACGTTTCAACAGCACCGAAAGTTGATAACGGTGACATTCACCGGTGACCTGTTTCTTGAAATGCCCCAGAAATTCTACAAGTGGTTTCTCAGGCACCTAAAGAAGGGCATTAATTACGCACCAATAATTTTGCTCAACCTAAAAATGACATTTTTTGCAACCTAAAACCTGCTTGAACCATGGGGGGCTGAGTCAAGTCTTATGCCTATTGCTATTGACCAGCCAGTAACTCACTTTCTGCAGCCGAAGAAATTAGTTACTTCACAAATTGATCTTTCCGACCATTGATAGCGTTACGTATGATGTATTTTTATCCGGCAAAGTAAATTGTTCTCACCGGCTCTGATCAGTCTTCTTTTCAGTTTCCTTTATGGACTCAGGCAGAGGGAGGTACTCGTTACCCAGTCTTATGTCGAATTACGTTGTAAGAGTTCTACTACGGATTAGAGTGGACCTATACTCTAAACACCCTTACAAACTTCTTCACCGTTTTGGCGACCTACTAAGCTTAGCAGTACACTACTGGACGCGCAAATACTGACGAACTGTATCGTTGTAAAAAGACTTGATGTGACAAGAGTACCTGGGAGAATTATATTTTATTCGACGAAATATAAAATTCAATAAATAAAGAAGTCGTACAACTTATCTGCAGACGTTGCTGGAGGTAGGCTCGGAGAGTGTGCAGAAGGAGAGCACAACAAGAGAGCGAACCTATGAACGTAAGGAAGACTCACAAGTCAAAAGGTAAAACGTGGATCACCGTGGGTGAGTCAGTTTAAACAAAAGTTCAAAGGTACAATGTGCACTACAGGTTATCCCCCCCTAGAAGGTTGGTGGGAAACCAGCAAGCTTCGATATACAACAGTAGGATGGCTTGGCACAATAGCAATGGGTGAATGAGAAGGTTTGAAAATAGCAATAGTAAAAAAAAGAAATTTCACCGAAAGGAAAGAAAGCAAAAGAAAAGAGAAAAAAATTAAGATAAGTTGGAAGTGGTATGTACATGATTAGTGAAGTAAGACGGAATATGATAAGAAATGGCGCTGGTGCCTTGTGTGGTTGTAAGCTTCTGCGGTCTGATGTTTTTTTTTTTTTTTTTTTTTTTTGTCTTTCATATTTTTATTAATCTTTTTTTTATTTATTTTTTTATTGTATCGATTCATTCTTTTTTTTTTTAATTCCGCACTATTACAAGCTTACTTATGTGGAGGTTTGATGGTAAACCTCTGGCGCCGAGGCTGTCGTAGCAAGAAGGTGATTCATTATGTCTAACTTTCATATTAGACCAATGCTCCCTTCCTCCGCTTCAACAGAACCTAGCAGTCATGTTAAAGGCAATCATTATACCAGCGTATGATAAGGAGCAGGGTAAAAAAAAACAACAGAAGAAAATGGGAAAGAAAGGTTAAGATTTCAAAATCGGTGTAAAGGTACTACAAAAGCTTGTGCGAAATCAATGCGAGGAAAAGTGGTGCAACTTGGAAGTAGTACGTTAGAATGAGATAAAACAAAGGAAGTTTCTACCCTGTGAGAACTTATAAAATTACAGAGAAGTTAGTACATAACCCATAGCTATGAGTAGTTATCATTACCAAAATTACTTTGTTCATGTTGCTAAGTGCATAACTAAGATGATGCATAATGTTTATAAGTACGGTTCACAAAATAAATGAATTGCGGGAGGGCATAAACCCGAAGGAATATAGTACAGGCTGTGAAAATAAATTGAGCGAATTACTATGTACAGCATAGAAGTGAAGCATTTATGCGCAAAAAAAAATATGTATATCTGTACATTTAACTATACAGTGGAAGTTTTTTTTTTGTTTTTTTTTATAATCTTTTTTTTATTTAAAAATAATTTTTTTTTGTTTATTTATTATTATTTTACATTTTTTTTTACTTTTTTTTTTAAATATATTTTATAAAATTTTTTTTTTACATAATAATTAAATTTTTTTTTGGAAAGGTAATATACTATTCATAATTCCTCTTTTGGTGTGGGTTACAAGATGACATGAGACGCCAACTGATCTAGCGAGTAGATTGATATGAAAAATTAGGGGTAAAAACAAACTGCTGCTGGTCCTCTGTAACGAGAGATAAAGATTAAAAGGATTAGTGAGGGTTAAAACGACTACTCCCAGAAGCGGGACCAAATAGATTAAATATAGCAGAATTGAATAAGAAATTGTGACAAGGAATAAAAAATCACTAGTAGCCTTACCTATGGATTAGTTCAGTGAAAGAATTCTACGAACCTCTTGGGCCAGTGAACACGTCGACCAGCACGTGTGACAGGGGTCTTACTGGTGACGGTAGGAGAATCATCATTCACCACCGGAGGTGAAGTAGTTGAGTCTGGACAAGGACTAGGTTCAGTGGGGCTATTTGATTGAGCCGATGGGGAGGGTGAAGGTTCTTCAGTGTATGCCGCTTTAAGTCTGTCTATGCTGACAGTGTCTGGGCGGCCGCATCGGTCAATAACGAAAAATTTATCTTTACGACTAAGGACCTTAAAAGGCCCGTCATACGGTGGTTGTAATGGCTTTCGTATGGCGTCGTGACGCACGAAAACGTGTGTACAGTCATCAAGTCGCCGATCAACCTGAACCTTTCGGTTCTGAGTGCGTGTGGAAACTGGTCGGAGTCGCTGCATAAAACTTTTAAGTTGCTGAGCGTAACGGGTGGTATCCGGGAAATTTGGCTCGAAAGTTTCGGGAGCGATTAGCTCGCCTGGTAAACGCATGGTGGTACCGTACACCAATTCAGCTGGCGAGCACTGCAGATCCCCCTTAAGCGTAGCCCGGATGCTAAGCAGGACCAGTGGTAGCGAATCTGTCCACTTACTGTTGTCCACTGCCATCAACGCAGCTTTGAGTTGACGGTGGAAACGTTCTACTAGGCCATTTGCCGCGGGATGATACGCGGTTGTGCGAATGCGTTTGCATCCCAGCATCTCTAACAATTCTTTGAAGCTTGTGGATTCAAATTGTTGTCCGCGGTCGGTAGTGACAGTTGCGGGACATCCAAAATGGGCAACCCAGCCATCCATGAAGGCACGACAGACGGTTTGAGCCGTTACATCAGGTATCGGAATGGCTTCCGGCCAACGTGTGAAACGATCCACACATGTGAGTAAATACGAGCAGCCGTTAGACGGGGGCAGAGGCCCTACTATATCCAGGTGGATATGATGGAACCGAGCGTCTGGGGTCGCAAACGTCCCCAACGGCGTGATGTTATGCTTGGTGACTTTAGCACGTTGGCATTGCACACAAGCACGTGTCCATTGACGCACATCACGGTTCATACCGGGCCACGCAAATCTCGCAGAAATCAACTTGTCCGTTGCTCGTATGCCAGGATGGGAG